ACAAATTTCAATCATTATAGTCTTTTAGACAAATGATGCCAATATCATGGTTTTTCACTTTTTTTGCAGGTTTATTTTATGATTTTAAGAAAGCTTGTATGTTGGATCCCACTTCTAATGGATGTGGTGTTTGTCGATTCAAAATTGCCCTTCTTCAGGGGCTTGAAAGGGTAAGCACTCCGACTCTCTAATGGTGTTTTGGGTTTTCTCTCTCTCCATATCTCAAGTTCTTTTTTATGTTTAGGATTTTAATCAATGAAGAATCCTATTTCATTTAGATTTAGAAAATGTTGTGTTTTTTATAGACATCACTACTCAAATTACATCCAAGCTTACATAAGTGTTGCTGATAAGGTGACCGGTGAGTGTTTTAAGATGCATTGTTTACATTATGCTTATTCTCACTTTCTGTGCTTATGCCAAATTGCCAATTATACTTACCTCCTAAGAACCCTCAAATTTGCAATACAGTAGTAAACATGTTAAATCACCAAAATCAAACAGAATGGTGGAATTAAGAGGTGCTGACTAATTAAAATTTAACTATCGTTATTTCTTAATGATGAAATGAAGTGATGCTACTCCGCTCACCATACTTTCATCATTTTTAACTCCATATCTTCCTCTTCTACATTCTCTGAAACAATAAAGACTTTTGTCCCTCAATGCCTCTCATGCTAAGATACATAAAAATGAATCATTAGACTGATAGAGTAAATTAATATGAAGTTTTGCAGAGGTTTAAGAGCATATATACCTGCAGAAGACAAAATTGTTTGAGAAGTATGTATGATCCAAACATACAATATAGAATATACAACCACTTTAAAAGCATGACCCGTGGTCATGGCCTTGAGACCTATTAGGTAGAAATAAACAGGAAAATGGTGATTAATAGAATAAAAAGGAATAGAAAAAGGATTTTATATTGCATGTTAAAACTAATAAAGGACAATTTCACTTTCTCCAATCATCTTATCGAAGAAAGAACTAAAGGGAAATTAACCTAAATGAAAGTCACGGTTATCATTTGCTCTTTTGTTTTACACCATAAAAAATATAGGCATATCATTTTATTATCGAAACATCTAACACAAAAAGTAGACTTTTTTCATAGTATTTGTTTTTTTAGGGATTACATATAAAACATCACATGTTGTCTAAGAAGCAACATAACCCAACCATCCGTGAATGAAATACAGGTAACTTGAGACACCCTCTTCTCCTAAAATCCAAAAAGAAATACACCAACTGTTGGTAGAAAATTGGGCTTTATTGAAGCAACATGCAACATACCTGTAGATTGACTTTCTGCCTATACATAACCAAGTGAACAATCTTCATCACAGATTAATTGTAATCTCTAATCCTTACAAAATCACATAGATTAAGCATCACCTTGCAGGTAAGGTATCCAGTAGCCAATTCATATTTAAACAATCTATAACCATGAATTGATTGCATTCTGTTAATCTTTGAGGTAAATGCAAATTTAGCAAATTACTTTATATTTTTTAATAGGGATAATGACTTAAAAGGGTAATATATTTTTCGATTTGTACACATTTGGTCACTGCGTTTTTTTTCGTCCACATTTACCCCTTCAACTTGTTAAACTGTATACATTCAGTCCTTATGATCGGCTACTCCAGGTTACCCGGTAAAAATGACTTAATAGGGTAATATATTTCTCACTTTGTACACATTTAGTCCTTAATATTTTTGTACACATTTAGTCCTTTTTTTTTTTTTTTGCAAAATAAGTCATTTTTTTTGTACTCATTCAATACTTTTGAATGATTTTTTAGTTTTTTCTCACAAAATCTTACGTGGGACATTCATTAATGAGGTGTATGGGGCTTTTGATGCTTATATCTATCGCGATCTCGACTACTTGGTTGCTTAGGGTCATGTGTTCTGAACGTCATAACTTATTCATATAATCTCGGATTTTAACGATCTTTATATCCATGCGTTCGTATTTTAGTCTACTACAACTTTCATTTAGATTACTTCCATTAAAAAATAATATATTTTTACTTACGATTTTTATATCCATACGCGGTGGCGGATTTAGTATGGTCCCGGTGTTGCACCGACAACACCTGTTTTTTCTGTCCGCAGTGGAAAATTTTTCGTTTTTTTTTTTACGTTTATACCTATTTTCCATGTATCGGCAACACCTATTTCATCTCGGCAACACCTACTATGTATTACTGCGTCTTCCCCTGTCTATACGTTTTTTATGAATGCATGTATGTATGTTTTTTTTATAAAATTGTTAGTAAAAATATATTACATTTTAACGGGAGTAATCTTAATGAAAGTTGTAGTAGACTCAAAAAATGAACACGTGGATAAAGATCATTAAAATCTGATATCGTATGAAGAAGTTACGATGTTCAAAATACAAGACCTAAGCCAAACCACAAGACTTACGCAACCAAGCAGTCGAGATCGCATTGGACATAAGGATCAACAACCCCAAGCACCTCATCAATGATTGTCTCACGTAAGATGTCGTGAAAAAAACCTAAAGAAATCATTCATAAGTACTGAATGAGTACAAAAAAAGGACTTATTTTGAAACAAAAAAAAATGTTAAGGACTAAATATGTACAAAAATATTAAGGACTAAATGTGAACAAGATGAAAAATATATTACCCTATCAAGTCATTTTTCCCGGCTAACCTGGAGTAACAGGTCATAAGGACTAAATGTGTACAGTTTAACAAGTTTAAGGGGTAAATGTGGACGAAAAAAAAAACTCAGTGACCAAATGTGTACAAATCGAATAATATGTTACCCTTTTAAGTCATTATCCCTTTTTAATATTATATCAGCAACTATCACATAACAACTTAAAAACGTTGCATCATACTTTGAAAGCGTTTTGTATGATGGAATTCGGGAAGGAATGGGATGGTTCATTAAAAGAATGGAATGAAAAAGGACTTATTTAATAACGGAATGGAATGGAATGAACCTAGCCATTCCTTTTTACTGATTTCATTATTAGTGGGGTGTTTATTAATTACCTGATGGTAGAAATCTTCAAATGTCGTAAAAAAACGAATCTTCAATCCAATGGGAGAAGGTAAATGTCTGCTGCCTTACCGATACAAGAAAGTGAATGGTGAAGAATGTTAGGCTTTGGGGAGTGGTCACCACCAACCCACCGGAAAAATGGTGCCACCTCTGCGCCACGTCACCTTCACCACCACCCACTCCACATAGGAAATGGTCACCACTAACAATATTCATTTTTTTATTTTAAAACATTAGATTAAATAAAAAACATTATTATAAACTTAAAAGTAATCATTTTACTAATTAAAAAATCAAATAAACATATTATTAATTATTAAAATTAAATAAACATAATTAATTATATATAGTTAAGGGTTTAACATAATTCAAATAAAAGTGAAAGGGTATAATAGGATTAAATGACAGAATCTCATGGACCAAATATGTAAGTTGAATTAAATCATATAAATTTTCCACCCAGTTGTCTTCTTCGTCTTCTTCACCCGATTTACTGTAAAACGGGTCCATCCCTTTCTTCCTCTTATTTTTTTTTTTCTAGTACGATGGATTAAAAGGAAAAACCAACGTGCTTAACGGTCAAAAAAGCATTCAACCAATCACTTCTTCCCAATGTTTTAAAACTCGGGTTTTTTAGTTGACCCGGTGTGATGACCGGTTCACGGGTCAACCGGTTCAACCGGTTGAACCGCCGGGTCAACCCGGTTTATGATCTTTTTCTATTTTTATATATTTTTAGTTTCCTGCATAATGCATAAACATATAAAACCAATAATTTGATGTCCACAAAGTTTAAACATTGAAAAACACCGAAGAAACCGCAAACGGCTCGCTGTTTTGGCGTTTGCTACTAGTATCCAACTATCGAAACCCTATTAAAACGGGTCAATCCGATTTTAACCGGTTCAACATAAACGGTTGAACCGCGGTTTAGGGGAAACCGGCCGGTTCGATCCGGTCAGTATTTGTACAAAAACCCGTTCTCAATTGACCCGCCTTCTACCCCGGGTCACGGTCCAACCGGTTGAACCGGCCGGGTCGACCCGGGTTTTAAAACATTGCTTCTTCCGTCTTCTCTGTCTCCGTGAAGACGCAAAGCTCAGCCCACCGGGGTGGGGGCGGTGCTCACGTGTGGAGAGAGGCTCCACGTAAGCATCTCACGCGTGGAGCTCCCTCCACTCCGGGTAGCCTTAAACTCCAGGGATGAGTGAGGTAAATAAAAAAGGAGGTAATTAATGGGGTGACGGTTCATATTTTTTTGATAAAGATTACCGATGCTGATTTGTTGCCTAATATTGTTGAAATTCAAATAAATGCATTAACTTTGTGCTGATTTGTTAGGATATAATAATTGTTTATAATTTAAACTCCTAATATTAAGGAACGGATTTAAGAAGAAGGAATAGGCGGGAACATGTGAGTAACGTAATGTCATGCGAGTTGTAAAGGGCAGAAGGTCAAAATTGGTATTTACATTGAAATTTTCTCGAATGTTGAGATGCCACGTTGCATTAGAGCAAATTTTTTTTTTTTAATTTAATTAAGCGAAAAGTCATTAACCGATTCGGTTAGATTAGTAATTTTCCGTTTGTATATATATACGTGGTTTGGGTTTTTTACCTTTTTGTTTCAGCAAGAGGATGTTTTGCTGTCATCGTAGTACTGTGTGCTGAAAAATATGTACAGAGAACAACACAGACCTTTCTTTTTCTATTACCAGAGTCATTACCGTTAAAACCTACCGTTTTTCACGTAAGTATACCTTCCTATATGTAATTATGTTTTCTTGTTCAAAATCAAGAACTACCCCTTTCCTCATCTACAAATAAGCACCCAATTAGGGTAATTATTCATACACAAATTCACAAGTTCACATTCTTATTCTCCTTAGTTCTTCCTTCGATTCTTTTAGAAATTCCACTGAAATTCTTAATTCTTCATTTCAAAAACAATGAAAAATTCTGCCCAAGATTCAAAAACAAGGAGAAATTCTGCCCAAGATTCAAAAACAAGGAGAAAGCGTGATGATTCCGCTGCTATGGGATACAACAAGGAGGCTGAGGATGAATATTATCTGAAAAAGATCCAGGAATTAGTAAACAAAAAGATGGAGTTGTTAGCAGTGCAACAAGAAAAAGACTCCAAGACATTGAAGCCTCCCACTGCGAAGAAAAAAATGAACAGTAAGCCAAAGGTGAGCACTCGGAGGTTGAAGAATTTCATCACGACTGTGATGAATGGCAAAGATATGACACTCGTCATCAACAAAAAACTGTATGAAAGCGATCTTTTGGAAAGTCAGAACAGGTTGAGTATGCCGATGAAACAACTGAAAACGGATGAGTTCTTGACAGAAAACGAGAAACAAGATCTGGAGAATGGAAAGGAGTTTGAGGTGGGATTATTGGGGCCAACATTGCGATTGCATCAGAAACCAATGGTGATGAAGATGTGGCGATTGAAAAGCACAGGCAGACGCAGTTATGTGTTGAAGACGAACTGGAATGAGTTTGTGAAAGAGAACGAGAAGGAAATGAAGCGACATTCAAAGATTCAGGTCTGGTCTTTTCGTAAAGATAACCGGCTGTTCTTTGCTCTTTCATGCGTATAGAGAGTTTTTAGTTCAAATGTTTATATTTGATTGATAGAGAGAAGAATTATCGGAGGTTGTATATGGATTTAACAATTGAATTTTGATATAGATTTCAAAAAACCCTAAATCTTTGAAGTTTTCCGCTTATGCTAAAAGTCCTGATTCGCTAAAATCAATTACATTCTTTGAAAACATAAAATTTTGATTGAACAAGTTTGCCTGTTGTTCATGCTTGAAGATGGCGACAAACAGGTTTAAAATTTCCCGCGATCTTGGATCAGTAACTGTTCGTTTTTTCATCTTTGATTTCGATTCTTCATCTGGTGGTTTGAGTTCGAGCAAGTTTAATGTTTTGGGTGAGATCTGGAAACGAAATCGTTTTCTCCATCCTCGATTTCGTCTTTCTCAATGGGTATGGAAGTTTCCGGCGACTTGTAGTCCATCAACGGCCTTTGTTTGTTTTTTTTTTTTCATTCTTGATTTTGGCTTTTGTCAGTTGAAATTTTGAAGTTAAAGCAGAAGACGTTCTTTTACATCATCTGAAACTTTAGATTAGGGCAGCAGCACTGCAACAGATTTTGAAATGGAAGTGATGATGCCTGCTGATGTTTTCTAATTCAAGTTTATGCTTTTCTTAATTGTAACTTCTCTATGTTTCAATAATTTGCTTATTATTTTCATATTCTGTTTGATATAATCTATTTATCCTTTTAATATTTTGTTTTTGGTGTAAGTACAATATATCTTTATGTCATTTTTTTCACACAAGTAAATCATAAACCCACTATTATATATTGTCCTCCTAAATCAACACCCGCGTCAGAAAAAAAAATATGTTATATGTATGTATAGCCAAACAAACGCATCAGTTGTCGAAGATATGTTTGATTGTGGGATAATTTTATATTTTTCTTAACGTGTATCATGGTTGTGGGGTTGATATGATCATTTGCATCTTGGTCATTTATAATCTTGGATTTTGTATGGAAAGATGATACATATCAAAACTCGAACCCTGTTATAACTAGGCTCGGTCCATAACAAAGATTGTGTAAAATACATTTAATTTGTATTGTTTTATTTGTTTGGGGAGCTATATTTCCATTTGTCTTTTTTATCCATCCACATGAAATCAAAGAATCTGGACTTTTTTGCCCTTATTTTAATTTATAAAAAATATAAAGACCGAAAATGGTTTATAGTTTATAGTTGTCACCTCTTATCTATCAGACTATCACCATTAATCGTCTTCGCTTCCCTATGTTAGCTGGAAACACCATCACTGCCACCATCTACAAACCTCTATTCTGACTGAAGCTTACCATCACCATCATTTGTACAACCCTACTTCTCTTTCAGTCGATCATCTTCTACATCAAACCACCAGCCATCATACGCTCTCTTCATCTCAACCACCACACCATCATTCACATCCAACAACTATCAATCCTTGATACACCATAAAACCAGAGAAAACCTCAACGTCTTCTCCTAAGAACACCACCATCACGATCATAATCATCTCATGCCACACACCAGACCCTACTGACACAATTCACACGCAGCCCCCACCATCTTCTTAACCAGACTGTGTTCTCGACAACCTTCATCATACACAACAAGAGTCATCATAGTTCCACCTTCAGGGAATTACCATAATGATCTCCACCCCTGTTCCATGACCATTGGCTTCACCTTACACAAGGGCGGTTTTAGGGTGAGTCCATGGTAGCACCAGCAACCCCTGACTTTTCAAGACACAGTGGAAAATTTTCCGAAATTTTTATTTTTTCTACTATCGTGCAACCCCTGACTTTCCCGTGACACCTCTACTTGTGAAATCATGTGTCCGCCCATGACCTTACACCAACACCATCAAGCCCGTAAATTAGAACTAGCAACCAAAACAACATCTCCGACCCCCTGTTCTGATCATCACCATCATCTTGTTTTAGAAGCCCTCATCAATAGGATCCCCTGTTCAATTCATTTACATTATTCCAATTTGTTTAATCAATTTTAACAATAAATTTTATGAGTAGGGAAACAAACATATACCCTGAACAGGAAAATGCTAGTTATTTTAAACATTTTATGAATTTTGTTTTATTTGTTTTGTACTTGTACTAACTTGATGCCATTGTAACAGAAAGAATTTGAAGAATCAAAAAAAGAGTTGCATGGGAACTAGAAAATGGTAAATCTCTTGACCACATAAGGAAGAAAACTATATGAAAGATTTAACCAAAATAATTGTTTGCATTACAGTTGCTCTCTAAAGGAAGAGGATTACAAGTTGAAAACTCTATCTCGATAGGAACCGAAATCCATTAAACAAAAACTCATGTGTAACAAGATTTAGAACAAAAAAAACTTACTTACTGTTGAAGAATAATGGCGACCGACGACTTGGAAGAAGCAATGGCGGTCGGCAATTCTTGAACGACAATGAGGAATCAGCGTTAGTCGCTTGGGAAGAAGAGTTAGTGTCAAAGGAAGAAACAGAGGGTGTTTGGGATTACTTTTCAATGTGACTTTATAGACTTTTGGCTTTTTCAAAAAGCCAAAAGTTTGAAAAGGTGTTTGGCAAACCCTAAACCCTAAACCCAAATCTAAAAAGTTCTTTTAGAATGAATTTTGGCAAAAAGAAAAAGAAGTTGTTTTAAAAGTCATGATTTTGTGACTTTTGGTGACTTTTGGCTTCTTGGCTCTTACTTCCTCAAAAGTTAATCCAAACACATTCTAAAACCTCCTTTTGGAAAAAAAAAAAAAACTATTAGCCAAAAAGTCATTTTGTCAACAATGACTTTTTAGACAAAAAAAAACAATCCCAAACATCCCCATGGTTCCAACGTTTGAGATCTTTCTTTGTCTTTTGAAAAACAAAATAAGGGCAAAAAGGTCACAACACTTTAATTTTAAGTGGAAGGATTAAAAAATGGAGTGGATTTATCAGCTCCCATTTGTTTGTGTTCTTTCTATATTTTTTTTTCACTTTAATACATTTTATTTTAACGTATGTAGTTTTAAAAGGGGAATTGTAATTATGATGAATCAAATACAAGCACGATATTGTTAGAGATTTTTTTGTTTGACATATTTAAGCGTGTCGGGGTTTCCGCCAAGAAATAGGTATCTGTGAATTTCTTGACTGGCCCGGCAGAAGAAAGGTCAATCCTTAGACCGACTGACGTTTTGATTTTTACATGGGTTGGATGGAAACACGCATGTGTGGACCTTACAGGGTTTCCCCTCCCGTGAGCTTGAGGGTTGGGGGTTTCATGGCGAGACAGACTGATTTAAAAGCTGTTACATGCAAAGTCACCATACATGAGAAATCGTGCATGGAAAATCAACATGTGTTCATACCATTTACATTTGATACGTTTGGTTTTCTAGCACCGGATGCAGTGGAGCTTCTTAATAGAGTACAAGGGATCATGAATACCAATGTTATATCCTCTAGATCTATGAATGTAGTTTTCAAAAGAATTAGTTTTATCATACAAAAAGACTTAGCTGCACAACTTGTTGCCCGTTTGTCATCTCATTCGTTGTATGATGATAATTAAATTAATGAAAATTTAATAACCAATCCAGATAAATTTTATAAGACTAAATCAAACCATTGTTAAAAAAATACTACTTAAATAAAACATAATAAAAAGTCACAATGAACCTTATAAAACAAAATACTACTTAATAAATAAAAAATAATAAAATGACAAAATAAACCTTATAAAACAAGGCTCGATTAATTTCAGTTAAGAAGGTTTCGGTTGTTGGGCCTCAATCGATTCTTATTCTTTGAATCTTTGTGTTGTGGGCTTGTCGCATTGTGAAAAGAAAAATGAGTTGAATTTATGGGTTCAAAGTTAATTAATTCGTGTATGTTGAGTTATTCTTTTTCAAAATTTAACTCGAATCTTTCCTTGTTAATTTAAAACTTATATGTTTTGTCGCTGAAATCATTAGGTAGACATCAAAAGATTATTTTGCCCTTATTAATTTCTTTTCGATTTATTTCTAATTTGTGTGTTGTTTAATAATTAGATTTTTTAGAAAAAGAAAAGATACACCATTCTTATACCTATCCCTTCGTTTTTCAAGAACACACCCTCAATCCCGTCGACTTCTCTACTTCACCGACGACATGACCTTCTTCATCTCCATGGTTCCACCGACGACATCACTTACTTTATCTCACATCTCCTTCTTCTGTCGTTGCTCAACCTCTCTCTCTCTCTCTCTCTCTCTCTCTCTCTCTATATATATATATATATATATATATATATATTATATATATATATATATATATATATATATATATATCAAGTTATGTTGTTACTCCACCTCTTTCTCTCTCAAAAGTTTTCTTTCTCTCAAATTCTAGTGCCGATCCAAACACGAAATCGTCACTCCAGTTGGGTTTATGATTTGTTCATATCATTTTTGGCAAATTTGTTCATATGATTTTTGGGTTACCCACTCTTCCACAAGCAGCCCCTAAACTGAAACCTCTCTAAACTCTAGACAAATGAAAACCAATGAATAATGAACAATAGGGTTATTTCTGGATTTACATAAATGAAAAATGATTTTATAGATTTTGAGATTGTTCTAAAATTCATGGGTTTGTTTGAAATGAAGGATTGTTCGTATGCATATTGTTGAAATTCATGGGTTTGTTCTTTAGCTTTTAAAAAAAAATTATGATTTACATAAATGAAAAATTATGTTTGTAAACTTCAATTTAGCTCTTAACTACTTCAGACTCTTTTTAAGACCTCTATTTCTGTAACTTTTCACGACTCTCTTCTTTCTCACTCGACCATCTACCCACACTTATCAAAAATTGTGGTCTTCGATTTTTAACTCTAAACTCTCACACGACTTTTTCTGGATAATTTAATGACTCTACGATCAACAAAAACCAAAGTAAATCGTAGAAGTGAAATGAAAACAAAAACAATCATTCGGTTAAATGTCTTTAAACAAACCAAAAATCAAACCAAATACATAGAAACACACCAAAACAAATCAAAATCAACCAAACCAAATAAAAACTCAAAAATAACCGAATAAAATTCAAAAGGATATGGTGGTTGTCGAGGCCAACCAAATAAATACCCTAAATATTACACAATAAAATAGTGTATAGTGGTAAAGCGATCGAATCCATAGAGATTGATTCAATTTTATAACTCTATGAAAAATCTCTTTGTAAAAATACTTGTAAAATGACAATAAATTAAAAATGGAGGGTTTGGTATTTTGAAATACTTGAAATAAACTAGAATTAAACTAAGATTTAAATAGACAATTTCAACAAAAATAAGAGTTTGATGTAAAATCAATAAGAGAATGATGGTTGACTTAAGGTTTCCTCACTTTGACTTTTGATGAACATATCATTAGAATCCAATGGTGCAATAATTGATTTAAATCCTTAACTTGACTATAGTAATCCAAGAAGCTTGAGATTACCTAGACTTTTCTTAGTTGTTAAAATGGTTAGAGAAGCTCATAACAATTTCCTTAGTCAAAGTCACAATTTCCATTAAGCATGTAATTAGTGAAAGTCAACTAGCATTAAGAATTAAAAAGTCACCAAAT